GCCCAACCAAGGTAAGTTTGTGTCCACACTAATTCACGGGAAGGCTGAAAAGTGTTTTCAGAAGAGAGTAGGAGAAAGTAAGCTGCAGATTGAATGGGACTTTAGATCCACGAGTTTGAGATAATTCCTGCGGGTACTCCCGATTAAGGCGGATGATTTGAGTTTGCAGATAAGTATGTGCAGTTTAGGTAAAACAAGAACAATAGTAAAATACGCAATATCTAAATAGGTAAATGTAGAATGACCAATGTCATCACCCAATTTCATGTTAGCATTGGCGTTCACGAAAATTAGGGTGAGAGCGCAGTGGATTGGGAATTGAACACACGGCTCCATAAAGACTACAGATAGGATGCATTTTATCGAGTTCACATCTTATCCAAGTTAGCCTCTCACAACTCTTTAGATAGACAAACAAAACGCGTATTTGAAGACAAGAAGTCTATCATCCTCCAGCCGCCGTGTCACAAAGGGAGTATATGAAGTGACTAGACACAGAGCTCTGTGTATATATTTGAACATTGTCATCCGATAGGGCTAACAGGCCCTGAAATAGACATAAATCCGCATGAAAAAGCAGTTTGTTCGGTGCAAAACAATACTACAACCAAGCCAAAATGCTAAGACCTAATAATAGCAGCAAGTATCACAATAAATATCCATATCTTTATCTAAGATAAGTACCGAGAAGTGGCTTTTAAAAAATTTCATCGGTTCGGGGAATAACACCCCCCCTCCCCCCCGAAAGTGTTTAATGTGTCTGAGAGACAGGCGACGATAAGCCCTCAAATGCATACGGATAGAAGTCATCTAGCTATCCATCAACCATCAAGTGAGAATTTCGATAAGAAGTGATTGGCAGCAAAAGCAGATAAATAGGTAATATCCCCTTCGGCACTTTGCGCAAAGCATTTTCAGTGGCAATTTGATGTGCAGCATAATTGGGCAATTAAGCTCTTCGTCTTCCTCAAAATTGCAAACTTCCGGTTTTCCAACCAAACAAAACAAAACGAAAAAAACCCAAGGGAGTTCTCACACATCTTCATTCAGTAATATATTTAATGTAGTGGAAAAATGAAGAGTGTATACTCTGTGTACATTTTATTTGAAGCAACATAGTTGTATCACGGCAAAAAAATCACACAACTATTTACATAAGCTAGAACAAACCTAAGCACAACACATTGGGCCTTTAACCCTGCGATTGATCAGTGAACTTCCATCGACGAGAGAATTTGTGCAGGGCCTCAAAGACAACACCTAAAAAATAGGGAAAATATTTTGACCGGTTGATGTCTGGTTGATCGATTTGCTTTTAGACAGGAGCCTGTTGTATCAGACGCATGATCACGAACAAGTACCTTAAAGTTGTGAACAACGTTGCTGAAATACTCACTCATTAAGCTAATATAAACATGAAACATATTGGTTCAACCAATAATGTTGTTACCTGTAAAATGACATTTAAATCAGCAAAGTAACCCGCAAATCTAAGCTTGAAGCCAATTTAATCTTTTAACTTTACAAAATTTAACTCTCGGTGAAGGGGAGAGTATAGCACTAGACACAAAAATTATCGACCTTTAGACAAATTATGATTAATGAAATGAGGGACTGAGCAAGCAGACAGTCTCGAAGTAATCAGCAATTAGATTAGAGAATGAGTAAACTCTACAACGACGTTGAATTATGTATAAAACAAAATAAAAGTTAGCGTTTGAGCCAGAGTTTATTTAGTTCATCACAAGTTTACTCTTTTGAAAATAAATCAAATGAATTTTGATGACTCATATAGAAGACTAAAATAAAAGTCATAATGGGCTGCTTAAATGTATAGCGATCAATCGTTTATTGATCTAGCCTTGGGCCGATACCAAACCGATCAATATGATAACCTGACAAATCAGAAATTATGTGTTCGAAACAAATCGGTTCGCAATCATCCAGTCGATGAGGCCACTGAAAGAGAAAGTGAATCTACCTTAAGATTGACCTCAGGAAACTTTATTTCCTATCCAAGCCAATCGAGATAAACCTCTTTTAAAATCGCTATTTGGGACCATAACATTAATTGAATGAAGAAAAGGAAACGAAATCTTGAATTAAATGGTTGGCACATATCGACCCCCTTGCCCCCCCCCCCGCCCTTTGATAATCCTGACAGCGCACCAAATTTTGCTCCCTCCCCCCGCCACTTTTTCTACTTCTTTCTATTTCCTCCTTGTCAAGAGGCAAATCTTATTTTAACGTGAGAAAAATATTTCTTAAGCATTTCCTCTTGATATAATGACATTCATATTAATTGTGCCCACCACATTCCTCTAACATCTATACCATTGGTCCGTTCGCATATTTCAAGACCATAATTAACTTTGTGCGTTCTTCCCCCCCCCCCCCCCCCCACATCACCATATGGCAAACGGAGATCGAGTTTTACGATCGTAAAACTGGTTATATACATACTCCAATAGCGTATCTGTCTCCTTATCCTACAGTAGTGGAATTCGTAAAAAATTAGTCAAATTTCCTGTTCTGCATTGATACCGTTTAAGCTCAAGCCTCCATTCAATAGATTCAATAAATGTTCCTACAATGAAGATCTTAGAACCAAAAATTAAGAGGACTTGAAAGAAGATGTAGACTTTTCATCAACGCTGTTAGCTAAGTATCGGCAATAAATTCTCAAAGACAAAATCCGATGAGCCTAATACCGCCTAGATGGAAGTAATATCTTTGAGATTGTGGTAGAATAAGAAGCGTGGGAATACCTGAGTCATGAGCAATTTTTACAAACTCCGCGGGAATTCTAAGTTCATCTGCTGGTGTGGCCTTGGTATTTATAACCACGGAGATTGTGGGCTTTTCGATTTCTGGCAAGGTTGACTGGAATTCCAATACATTAACCAGCTCCACCGACTTGCCCACTTCAATCTCGGCGCCTTTGAAAAAGGAGACTTTCTTCTTCCGCTGCAAAAAAGTGAACAAACAGGGTTTTGTAAAAAAAGTTACTCATTGAAAGTTGGACCTCCATTAGGTGGAAGATGACTAGGTAGGATTGGTGGAGGTAAGAACTACTAATATGTTTATGTGGCTTGACCAACGCTTTGATGAGATTCTCTCCCAATCCCCCCCCCCCCCCTAGTTCATATGGACTCTGGAAGTAAAGAAGGCACTGTACACATCAGGTGAAGAGAATGACCACCCTATATCGAATTGGTTTAGTCTAAACAGAGAAAGTTGAACAGATTTTTCGTGTTACCTTCCTTCTAGCAAATTTAAGAATTAAAAATTTTGGAAGATATGAAATTGATACTTTAAGAAAACCCACGTCACACATAAACTCTAAAGAAAAAGCGCCCCATCCGAAATCACAATATTTTGCATGCATAGATTAATGAGACTTAATACATATGACAGCACTAGAATGCCTGCCTTATTCGAAGGAGGATAATACGCCCCCCCCCCCCCCCCCCCCCCCTCCCCCGCCCCCACCACCAATAGCCAATTAGATATCCGATCGTCTCTCATAATCCCTGGATTATACATAAGCACTAGGGGTGTTCGTTGCTGTGTACTATTCCCTTCTATAGATTGAATTAAATGAAAATTTTGCTTTCAGTAGTCCCAAAACTACAAATTACTCGGAGTAAACGGAGCAGAAATCTAAACCGCGTTGAACGCAAAAGCAATAATTAGTGGGAAATGGATTAATCAACCATCGCTGCACAAATAGTTTAATCAAAAAGTGAAAGACACATTTCTCAAAAGAAAACATCCACAAATTCCATCGACAAGTTTTTGGTACAAATAGTGCAATATGGAATCTGATGAGCTTTAAGCTATCAAAATTGGCCAACAGAGCCGCTCCTATTTAAGAGTTCGCTTTTGTTGCCTTCACACTCAGTGAATGCCATTCCAGATTGCGCGCGAAGCACTTCAGTACGCAGCACTTAGCGATTGGGATAAAAGAGGGAGGGAAGGGGGAGGAGGGAGGAGGGAGAAATTAGTGCAATTAGCCGGCTACGGGTTGGAGCCGAATATGATTGACTGGATTTGTCACGCGTAGAAAAGAGAGGAAATTAAACCAGACCATGTGAAGATAATAATGATTCACAAAAATAGTGAAGCTTTAATGCAGGTCGTGGTATGCCGACTTACAAAACGAGGGGAAGCAATAAACATAGATCAATTCCAATCTGCTATTAAGCTTGTAGACCCAACAACACATTTGGGTTTCCGAGCAAATGAGAGGGAGAGAACAACATGGAAAATTTCACTTGATCTCTCGGCAAAATGCAATCGACTTCAGTGACGCAAAAGCTTAAGTACGCCACTTTGGAAGGGTCATCATCTTGGAGCTTCGCAGATGAGAAACTCGAATTCCACCACTTGCCTTTATTAAGTCGAATTAATTCAAACTCATTGGGTATATGCCGGTTGAAATTGAGACTATGATGTCTGAGGTATTTATATTAACTGCAACGCCACCGACCCACAAAGATAGTGGCATATTTTACATCAACTAGTTTGAAAATGCATATGCTGACTCATAGACCTCCCTCATTACTAACCGACACTGATGACTTCATTTTGGATAGTCGTATGACTAACAATGGGGGGGGGGGCAGGTATTCGACTTCACTCGTCATAAATTCACCGGCGTTTCACGCACCCAAATTGCTTACAAGCATTCCCGACGCCTCTCCCCCCACTACTCGAATTCCAATTTTTCTTCATTTCTATTGATGCATAAACGTACACAGGGAGCCCCGAACTTCAAATTGGGGAAGATACTATTGATCTGAAGAGGGCCATAATCAATCTATGTCAGTAGGGTCTACATATTAGTCCACTCTGATAAGTCCCCCCCCCCAACCCCGATTTCTCTCTACTTTCATAATTCTAATGACTGCTCCCCACCCCTTCCCCCTACAAAAACTCTTAGTCAAGCGATCACGCTTTGCCTATCACCTCCGAGTACCCGGTAAACAGGAGGCATATTCTCCTGTCATAAGCAAGGTCTTGCCTCGAAAGTCAACACTTATCCCTGCCTCACACCTTTTATTTAATTAATGAGAGGCTAAGGATATAATGGTTGTTTTCTGGTGGTCCTGTTCTTCGATGTTGTAAGAGAAGTCTACCTTAGGTCAGTTGCCCCATCTACCTGCTCAAGGCTTTAGGAAGATTGAAATAGATGTTAGAAGCATGCCCATAAGTAAAACTTTACTGACATGAGTAATGAAATCATATGAGGCTTACCGACGCAAAGTAAATTGAGCATTCAATGATGTTAACCCATCTGTACAAGACGCCAAAATTTACAGGAGTGTTGTCAGTAGACATTACGCGGCTGTCAACGCTTTCATCGGCATTCAGATTCGTACCACCGAGACGAAGTTGTATGCTGCCCTCGGGAGTCTCTGTTGCCTCTTGGATGTGAATACAACTGAAAGACAAATGACAAGGCAATGTTGAAGTCTGAGTTAGCATAAATAAACTCAAAAATTGAGTTTTCCCTGAAACTAAACTTTTTAATAGGCTTAACAGTAAACCTCTCAGCAAATTTATATCGTTAATTCATGATTGTTCCATCAAATGTTCCAAGTCAGTTATTTAAGACACATTACCTAACCAAAGTCATGGTTACGACGTTCCTATTCGACGACAAAGATTCTACTGCCTGGAAGAAGAAGTGTGGTTCAGTATTGTAATTCCCAATCGATCTACTCCTGTTCAGCAACCATACGCTTCTCTCTCCGTTCCCCCCCCCCCTCTCCTATTAACTACTTGGTTCATGTAGACCTATCCCACCTTAGTTACTTCGGATTTGTGTGTTCGCACACTTTGACTCTCCCCGTTTCATGAGACACCAATGCCTGATGCCCAACCCCGCCCCCTTCTCCACACTAACGTTATTTGCCCATAGAGCGCGCCTAACTCCCATCCTCGCGTCGTGATAGGGGGACTCATACCTTATCCGTATTTATCGTTAATGTTAATTTAAATCTCGTCTATCGAGTTACTATTTATATCTGCCTTCCAGAAGTAAACTACTTAAATGAGGATTCACGATATAATAGATGCAACTTCTAACGGATCCAAATAGTCCTGTGTTAAATAAATAAAGTAATTGTGAGAGTTAAATAAAAATATACGTGGTTTGTCCTTCTTCCAACATTCGAGTTGCTGATCTTGCGGCCGCAGAGGTTTTCTTCAGTTGATCGAGATGTTTGACAACTACAAAGTGGGAGAAAAAAAGGTGAATAGTTTGCAATCGGAGGAAGCAGGCAGATTCAACAAGGGTGATAATCTGTGTCTGACTGATTACAAACGAAGATTCTATTATTTGCCTTGGTGCCACAACAGTCGACGACTTACAGGTAAGTCACACCTGATCAGCCTTTCAGCTATTCTCCCCACAGCCAGCATTAATGCCAGTTAATGGTGGTGTTTCATAGACTGTCTGAAGCGGGAAGAAGAAGGAGGTTTTCTTAAAACGCTGAAAAGACGCTATAAGACTTTGTGGTTTCCAAACAACTGGTGACGCATTTTTATATTCAGCTGGTCGGGGTGTGCGATAGACTTACCTCCACGTGGTGCACCCTGGGCAACGTATTCTCATACGGCAAAAAAGTCTATAAACTGGCAGCCGACTTCTGACTTCAAACTACCATGATCCCACTGTATGGCTTATTCGATCACTTCCACCATACTTATCCTACCTTTTCTCTGCCTTTGTGTCTGTCTGTCTCTTTTACACCTGTGAATCACTCTTCTGTCCCCTTCTCCACTTTTTCTCATTTTGATGTTCCTCCTTCCCTCTGTGAAGCCCGAAGTCAGGTAAAGGGCAAATGATAAGCATCATAAAGCCCGCCATTTGAAATAAATATTCAGCTGGTCTATAGGCGTGTGGCTGAATTTATGTTAGTATTCAAACTTGTTACTAGCAGCAACTCTTAATTATGCCAACTAGCAATTCTGCAAATCCAAAGATAGGGCTGGCTAAAACATTCAACCAGACGGGATGGCTTCTTCTGCTGGCTTTGACTATGTGAAGTGTCAACAAATGCAGTAAGACTTCGCTTTACAAAGCTGGCCTCTTCAGCCCAATGACTTCAAAGCTAAACGGCAGGCCAACAAAACGCTCCCAACTACCCCCAAGAAATGAAGGCATAAGGGATAAAATGCATCAACGAGTCAAATAAATGCTAAACAAAGACTATGAGAGTATAAGTGCACTAGGGTCCTGGTTCTAAAAAAGGCACTTGGCTCAGTACGCATATATAACACAGGTGATTCAATTAGACGCACATTTGTCTTGGCAATAAATGGGTTATTGATTCAATAAACGCAGGAACTGCCATGGCAAACCGAAATGTCGAGGCAATTATTGAAACACAAGCATGGTGATTAGCTCTCTTTTCTTAGCCTGTCTCGATTTCTAAATAATAAATGACATTTTGATTGCGCTCTCAAGACTCCGGTGTAATCAGCAAGTGATAAGCAAACAAACACACAATTAAGAGAGACAGATGACAAGGAGAAAAAAGTAAGATAAAGGATAATTTAAACGACACACCTTCAATTAATCCAAGCTAATCATATTAATGATACTTAAAATATCAGCTTCTGCTAACTTATAGCTCCATAAATTTGAAAATAGGAGAGGTCACACCAATTTCACGTCTCAAGTTGATAAATTCAGGTGTGCATTTTCTTGGACCATCCAATGACTTAAAACGGATTCGAAAAAAAAACAACGCAAGAACCACGAAACACCCCAGCTAAGTAAAATGCACCCAAAATAATTACAGGTAGGAAGGTATTAATAATCGAGATTGTAAAAGCCTAAAGGCCATAAAACAGAAATCTACATGGTTCATCTTTCCCTTCCTCAAATTAATAATTTATTGTGAAAGGTATATGCCCTTGTCCATTTCAACACCAAGGGAAATTCCATTTGAAACAATTGAAGCAAAATTAACCAGTAGTTGTGGGATGGTGCAGTGATTAAAGAGAACGTCCAACAAACTAGAGGTCAAGTCGGCTAACATTAGTTCGCATCTGGAGATGTTTCTCCGGTGCAAATACGGAAAGATTATGACCCCTAATGGCATGAAAATTGTAACTTTTAGAGATAGCATGATCAAGATAAAGGCTTCACTCCGAAGACATCATGCAAACTAGAAATGTATTTGCTATCTGGAGTATTAAGAAAAAATCTAAACTAAAAACCATTTGAGTGTAGGGTTCAAATTTTCTTACCTTTACTTGGAACAACGATAACGGTTGATTTCGATTTCAGTAAGCGACTCATGAAAATGGAATTCGAGATCAAGCAGTAGGAATCAATCACAATATGTGGCAACCTATCTGATAATGAGTCTGCCTTATTCGTTTCACTTTCAGACTCATTCCTGGAAGGCTTCAGATTTGACAAGCTGGCCACTTCATTTTCTAATCGTCGCTTAGCCAGATTTCTCATCGTTTCCTCATCCATCGATGCCTTTGGTTTAATGGCCTAAGAATAAAAGTCAAAATTATGAGTCTACTTATTTGTAATAAGTAGAAGTCACTTCTTAGCAGGTCTCACCAGATCTGATTTGTTTTTAGCAGAAGTTCTCTTGCGATTCTTTCTGTAACTATGTTTACCACTAGAAATACTCTCAGAACTCTCTTCATCTAGAGGCAATGGGGCTAGGAAATAATCCACATCATTGTGATACTCCAGATTGAGATTAAGTTTTTTTGCAAGTTTGCAGAATTCATGCCCAAACTTGGTTAATTTTACACATCGCACTAGGGTTTCCTCAATCCTATTTTTCAACGGCTTTACATCGAAATCAATCGCCTTAAATGCAATTGACATTGTTGGCGTACTACGAAGCAGCCATTCTTCTGTCAGCGGGGGTTGACTTTGTGGAGTCGTGTCATTTTCAAATTCTCTCTTTATCATCTCTCGACATTGAGAAGACACATGAGGAAGTAATTCAGGTGTGGTGGAATGAATATAGTGGATAGGAAGGCCGCGGCATCTGCCCTTCATTATCTCCTCTGATTCCGACTCCTTTTTGGCAAGTGCTACTATTGGATTCAAGAAATTAATCAAACTAGCAAAATGCGAAACAATTTGTTGCATAAGAAGAGGGTGAGTTGTAGAGGCTGCTTTGAGGAATGGTTGAGCGGTCAGAAGCCATTCAAGGATGAGTTTAATTCCAGCAATAAAGATGTCAACAAAAAAGGAGGCGACAAATAGACGTAGCCAGACACGAGGTTGACCAATTGGTCCGTAGTTGGTTTCAGCATCTTCTTCATCGTAGTCACTAGATGTTTCATATTCACGATCAGACTCATCACTCTCTTCGTGCTCCTCGTCATTACCATCGTTATCTGATCCTGGATTTGATCCTACTTCTCCATTATGAGCAGCATCTACTAAAATAAAAAACACCTTTTTGTAACACTACGTCATGGGTGTGATTAGGACGAAATAAAGCAAGTCTTTCAGCATTCTGATATTTCTTTCCAACAAAAACGTGGAATTCTTTCTCAGCAAAAAAAGCGCATTGCCTATAAGCAGGTCCAAAGCCACGTTAGCCTAAGTAGACGCTATGAGAGAAAATGAGAAGTAGTATTTGAAGAGTGCGGCCTCTATGCGAACATAATCTCATCATCTCATCTTCCGTATTGCTCGCTCATCGGTACATATTTTGAGTCTTCAAGCGCACCTTACCGACTTCATCCCATTAAATACTGTTTGGCTCGAATGATTCCCCCCCAATAAAATGTACTTAGACAACACTGCTTACACTATCATTAAATTGGCTCAACCTAGCTTTACAAAACTGAATCTGAGAAGGTATAAGGGGCTTTCGATATAGAAATTCAGTCCAAACAACAGTAGAAGCAACATTCGCATAGCCCAAAGCATAAATCAAATTAAATAAGAGGCAATTTAAAAAGAAGTTAAAAGCATTTTAAAGTGAGAAGCAATAGAGAAAAGTGATATACATACAAAATACATAAGAATTACCTTTGACAAGGCGGGTGTTATCTAAATACAATTAAAAATGGACGCATTTTGAAAGCAAAGGAGATAAATATAGCCTTATATGACAATAGGCCTTGTCAACGCTTTCCTTAATCTGACCTTAAAATAGCATAGCAAACGAACAAAAGCTCAACTCGAAAATAAAGCGAGTGAGTTAAATGCTGGCTGAGAAATAGAGAGAGGGAGAGAGAGGGGGGAGCAGCATGTTACCTTTAACCACATGAGCTTTAATTTTGGGGAAAGTTGGGGAGATGATCATCAGTTACAAGTTATGAATGTGATTAAGATTGAGCACTGGAGTAAATTCAATCAGTTTTATTTAGTGCTGGATGAACTGAGTTGGCACTAACGGCCAACTTGAAAGTAGGAGAGGTGATTTTCCGTTCGGATAAGAACAGCCGTCTAGCAATCCCATGAATTTCTACACAGATGTTGTAAAAACTCCGTTGATAAACTCAATGGGACATCATAGTTGCTACACCATACTTTCAGAGTAGTGACAACACATGATATTTTAATTATGTCACCTCCACTTGCTTGCCAGAACAATGTGTACCTCTTCTCAAGTCCCTTTTTTTGTACTCAACTGAGATTCCACTTTTACCCAATGACGTTCTTCAACCGAGAGTCTCACTTCTCCAACCAGTTTTTTAGTGCTGATTGGTAGAAAAAAGATGAGAGCAGTCAGGAGTGTCATTATACCACTACGTTAACAGACACCGCATTAATTATACATCTCACGATAGCAGTATTAAAAGTAAAAGAATTATAGGCTATCTTTTATTCTAACTTAAACCAAATGATAGTGAAATTTTGACTTCTAAGCCAGTAGAGGTGGTGGTATGCTAATTTCTCAATAGTTCAGCTGGTACAAAAGTGGAAATAGCTATGGTACGATTCTTGATCATTTTATTATTACAATAAATGAAAGAATATATTGAAAGTTAAAGTTATGTCAGGGGAAGGCTAATTGCCGAAGGTGGTTACTAAAGTGCTGGTACCCCCGCTTCTCTCCACAGCGTGGCACTAATTCAACTGTAACATATATTTATTAAACTGATAAAACACGTCTGGGATAACTACGTTTCTGCCAATTTTCCCTCCAGGTCTAAGTCATGCAGTCTCCAGATTTCTACTTGGCACATAGATCATAGCAACAAAAACAAGACTTCCGAGGAGATGTACTTAATAAAAAACAGCCAATAGAACACTTACCATTGCGAGATCTGCTGTCAGGAGTGGAGTGTGGAATCCGAACTTTTGCGAGTTCATCTGCTAACTTCTTGTTGATATCTCGTGATGTCCTCAATTTATTTTCGTCTTCTGCTTCTTCCTCATTATCGGCAACATCATCAAGTTCAACATCAAAATCCTATTTGATGAAATAATAGAACTTAGCCCCAGTTAAAAGAAAGAGGAGCGCAGGTTCAGACAATACATATACTTGGAGTAACGATGGCCATTAATGGATATTAGTTGTGAATTTTACTTATTAAGGCTAGAAAACTCTTATATATGGTATAGCAACGAACTCAACCCTAACATCCAACTAATCGAAGTTCCAAAATGCGTCGGTAATATCACAGTTCAAAACAAATACTCTGTGTCCGTTATGCTGCTCCTGAGCTGTCTCTAATTTATCCAAGTGGAGTTCTCTCCTTATAAATGCAGGCATGTATACAAACGTTACATTCACCAGAACACCACTTAAGCTCACAGCTGTCCACAATCTTACATACCACTCTATCTTGATTCAAAGTATCGCATTAATAAACCCACCGGCGGTTACAGTTACCCACTAGTGTGTCGCATTGTTGCAATAAAAATGGACAGTAATTAGATGTTGCATTGGGACAAAATCGTATATCTAGATGCTATTTACAATGCAACTAAACATCTACGCACAATTCAAATGAAGGTCTTAAGAACAGCATATGAATAATAACGAAAAGAAGTCATCATCCTTTTAGGACACAAAAATCTTCACAATAAATACAATCTCAGAAGTTTTATCTTTTAGATTTGATATTGGCATCGCACAGAGCGAAAACAAATGTAGATTAATACGCCTGATCTAGCATAATTATTGATTATTGAACGAGTGGAAAAGCACAAAATTAACTCATAGTGCATACTAAATATTGCTTTCATTCCTCACTCAGCCTCCTTCTCCTTACCAATGCGCAACATTTAAACACACCTTGATCTGCTGATATGGGAAAGGATGACGTCTACTAATAGCCACTCTGCTATCAAAAAGAAAACAAAACGATGTCCTCTTTAAGTTAGTGAACGTGGCTTTCACAAAATTAGAACAAAGTACGGATATTTCAAGTCACTCACATCATAAGCGGGGTACTGGTCACCACCACCATCTTCATTTCCTACATCCTCCTCCTCTGGAAGATTGAACTCTGAATGATCATCATCGTCATCTTCGGAGTCACCATAGGGGTCATCGTCTTCTTCTTCTACATAGGAGTATTCACTGGAAGAGGAATTGATAAAATCGTCCTCATCAATCATGCGGCAATGAGCACGTAGCCGGCGCAAACGATGTCCCCTCAATCGACCGAAATCGGATCCTTCCGACTCTCCATCATCACTTGATTCATCCTCCCCTTCCCCGAGGGTTACTTCTTCGCTTTCCATTCCTACGGTCTCTTTATTAGCCATTGACTTATTTGTTGTCTTAGAAAGCGAACATGCATCCGCTTCTCCCTCTATTTGGGAAATTTCTTGGTCTAAAGTAAAAATGAGGATAAATTATTTGGGTTAGTTTGCTTTCAGAACCAATTAATCAGCTCGACGTTTGGAGAAATTGAAATATAAGAGCATTCAAATCGTCTCTTTATCTATTTAATCCCTTTTACCAAAGTAAATCCATATTACTCCATTGATATAGAACTCCAAGCGAAAAAAGGAATACTAAAATTAAGAGAGTAAGTGAAAGGAACAAGAAGCACAGAACTGGAGTTAATCCTAGCTTCCCATTAGCCCACTGTGCGTTTATGTTGGTCTGTATGCTAGTAAGTATGGGTTGGTGAAATTAGACGTTCAGTTTAATTCCGACGTTTTGAGAACAATGTATTGCATGACTTTTGGGTGCTTTCGAAATCCACCATCGTCTTAAACCTCTTCATCACGTGCGATATAGAAGCCCACCTCAAACGCTCACTTGGCTTATAACTCTCGACTTTCGGACTCATTTCCATACTAACGACTTAGAAAGTCGATACAAATTAGTATAAATGATTTATCAACCTAACCCAGACGTATTTTTCGCGGATTTCTAAAACAGCTTTAGGACAAAGTATGTCCATTTCTAATATGCCACTGGTCTGTCATATAACCACAAACGTAACCTTTTGGTCTAATATTCTCAATGTGAATAATTCTTACCTTCTTTATTTCTATACGAATTTTCTTCGGTTTCTAATGCTTCACCTAAAATGAACAAATAATTAATTGGAAATAATTTCAACACCATCTAAAATATATATAAGTTAGAAAACTTACCTCCACAGTATGTTCTATCATCATCTTCTCCATATATCTCACGCATCATATCAGCAGCAGATGTGGTGAAAATATTTGTAGATTTTGCCAAGGAACGGAATGAATAGATTAGAAGGAGGTCTAGGATGTTGAGTAGGAGTAAAGGAAGCTGCCTGGACTGTTCAAATATCACCTTGACGTGTTCCTACCGAGAAAAAATTTATTTTAAAGGCTCCTAACTATCTTATCGCGCCCCATCGATTTTCCTAATCATAATTATTGATTCCACAAGCTACTCATGACAAACTAGAAGTAATCTGTGCAACGTTAACCTTCGCTCACAACGAACTAGCATCCAATGCAATTTAGCCTTAAAAATTATGTTAAAACCGAATACGAATGCAGAATTATCAAAAGAGAAAAAAATTAGGGTCGATGCCGTTTATATAAATAAAATTGCTGAAGAGTAGAGGTACTAACCTCCCGAATTTTATCATCCAGATCGCTTCCAAGAAGTAATTCATTTGAGAGGATAGTTGTCGTTATAATTCTCATAATTATCGCCGGTAGAAGACTTGTACTAGTTCCAGCCAACCCCACTGTCCTAGTTAGATCAGGACAAAAGTCAGGGACGCCATTGTACAGTCGTTTGGGATTTGGCAACATTTCCCTGACATACTGTGATCCGAAACGCTTGCTCTCTGACCTGAGAATGAAGGCCATATCACTCACAACTGCAGCGAACAAGTCATCATTGAGATTCACTTGTAAGGAGTTCTTCTTTAAACTACAAGGTTTGAGAAAGCACAAATAACCTACTCAAGGTGGTGTCGGATGTTCAGAAATATTACCTCCAAAAAGCGCAGAGCAACAAGTCGCAAGTCCTTCAATCTAAAAGAGATATGCGAATGAAAAAAACACCAACATACTTCAGAGGCCTTCTTCTGTGTGCGAATAAAATTTCCAGCGTTTGCATTGTCGCATTGCTTTTCTCAAGAATAAAGAACCTATTTTCGTTTTGATTCAATTCGTATAACAATTTTTCCTTGCTAAGCGCATAGGGTTGTGATAATAAGAGTGAGCGAAGAAAGTGGAAGACAATATTTATGCGGAAAGCTCGTCCAATATCCATAACAGCCAGTTTATAATGACCCAAGCCTAGAGCGTAGTAGATTGAGACAAAATAAACACGAGAAATAATAGATCAATTACCATCATCCGGGTTTATGCGAGTCAACATCTTGTAATAACCACACGCAATGGAACGCGAGTAAAAATCTCCGACTTTCGTTCTATTGAAATCTATATGTTGGGGGAAAGGGTAAATTTTCATAAATAGAAAAAATTACAGAGATCACCCAGATAAGAGAGGCATTTTTCGGATAATTCCTCAGCGACCCGTGATTCATCAGCATCTATCAGTGATGAATCTTTGCCTAAAATATGAGAATATATTAAATAGTTATTAACTTACTTGAAACTCTTTGTATACCCATATTAGCCCACGATTTTGGCCATATATCAGGACGAAAATAGGAATTTTGCAGAAGTGCTAACATACTTTTATATATACCAACAGAATCGTCAATATGTTGAAGAAAACTTTGATAGAAACGCTTAGCTTCGCGAAGTTTTGGTTTCTGAAGAATTATCATAAATTTTGATTACCTTAAGCTGAATTTGCCCAATATGTATTGGATCATAAACCACCTTTTCCCATAAAATTCTATCGTTTTCAATGCCATTTTCGACGATATTTTTAAATATCAACTTTTTCAAATGGAATGAAAGGCTTATAAAAGAGATTATAATAAATAATCCCTTACTGATCTCTGATCTTAACTGTAGTTGCGCTGAATATATACCTGCTGGGATCTACTCCTCTTGACAAATTGTCTAGACGCTTCAATAATTCACTTATATTTCTAAAAAATAATTAATCAAAGGAACTAACACTGAAGGATCAGTATCATCAGGAAAATCTAGCGAAATATCGACATCAACAGACGACATATTTCAAATAAAGCCCGGATATGATAGCGATTTAAAACAAACTCAGGTTTTCTGTTGCGTAGTATAAATTAATTTAGTCTTGAACAAAAATGAACTAATCTATGATGTTTTATGACTTTAATAGACTTGAGAATTAATATTCAATGCACGATTATTATTAGTTTTTAGGACTCCTGTTTTCCTATTTGTAATAGTTGGTTTCAAGAAATTTTCTAAAAATTTGTCAATCAGCAATTGTGCATATTACTTAGAGAGATCAAATAATTATCAAAGACCTAGTCAATGTTTGGATAACATATTTATTAATGTTCAGATATAATCTTTTAAACATTATAATCATTTCATATTTTTATATTTCTTCAAATTACCATGACCAGATTGTATGTCATATTCCACCACTTCCACAGCACTCACTTTACCTTTTTCTCTACCTTTGTGTCCGTCTCTTTTACATCCGCTAATCACTCTTCTGTTAGCTCTCTCGACTTTTTGTGACTTTGATTTTCCTCCCATCTTTGAGGCCCGAAGTCAGCTTAAGGGCCAATGACATCTGTCAAAATGCATGCCATTTGATATAAATGAATAAAATGTTTTTATATTTAACTTGAATGCTTTAACTTAGACTTCGATAAAGTAATACAAAAATGTTTTATACCTTAGTTTGGTCATCCGTTTTTTATTACTAGTCAGACGATTAGCATTAATTTCAAAAACGAATCTTTTCCTCTCGCAATTGAAACTTACAAAAATATCCTCACTCCTGTTATTTCACCGGTCAGTGAATTGTGATCCACAGTTATGACTTGGAACAATTTGGTGCTACTTTCTTATAGTTATACAGAGATCATTTTAAACTACAACAACTCATACATTGAAATTGATATTTTTTAGGAAAGAACCTAAAGGACAAAATAATGATAATAAAATACTGATAGTTAATGTAGTTGCTCTAGACTGTGAATGGTCAATATTAGAACAAATAAATTTTCTCACATTAATATAATTTGCTCGTTTTGATGTCTGCTCCTTTCAATTGTGCCTTCTTGGTGGCACCTCTAAGGGTTATTTGAAGACCTTTAGTTAGTTCAGATTTATTCCTGTCCTTCGTGAGTGCATTATATGGTCTTATACAACGTCGATCCGCTTTTTCCATTAGTGAGTTTCCCCCAATATTTCGCCTTGCCATCCTCTAGAAACACAGACGAACATCCTATAATTTGTTTCTGCTTCCCTCTTTCCTTTGGACTACATCTCTGCCAACTTTTTCGACTCAGGCCATCGCTCTAAAGCGTCATTAACAGCATTCATTGTTGATTTCAAAGGAAAGTCCCATATCTCCATTTTTCTTCAGGATTATCCTATTTTAATTTTTGTGTCACATCATTGCCTTCATTGTGATTTTTTTCCATATATTCTTCTGTTTCTTCTGGGTATTCTGTCTGATTACCTTTCCAATTCTACTAACCAGTCCGCATTAATTAGAAGATGTCTAAACACAAGGAACCGTATTCCAATGGGCCGATTTTCATTACAAATATAACATTGAAATTCACTTCCTCCGGAAGCATTGCTTTGATGGAAATGGTGCTGATGTACCCAGATACCTCCTTATTTCCCCTGAGATCAAAATGAAATAGAAAAAGGCTTTGTCCAGCTGCTTATTCTCCTCATAGCCATCTTTCTCCACCAACTGCTCACAGGCCACATTCATAAAGTTAGTACTAATGGATTTGACCTTCAGGGTAAATTTTTCTTTCTGGATTCAACTTTCGGCCGAAGTATTATTTTCTTATATCCCTAATTGCTACACAATGCGCAAAGGTATGACTTGTACGGGCATTCAATGCACATTGGCCATTCAGTTGGGAAGGGGGGAGTGGGTTTAGACGAGTCAAAGACATTCGTGAGCATATTTGCACTGGAACTTCGACTCCCATAAATGTATTCATCAAATTTCTGTTGATCTATGTCAATGTCTGACTTACTGTAGCATTCCTTCTAGTGGCATTCACATGATCCAACAACGGAAACCAGCTCAACACCTTTCTCGAAGACAATTCAAAGATAATATTTCTTGGAAGTGATAATTTGCTATTTGAAAAAAATCTAAAGCGTAGTTCAAAGCATATATTCATGGGGCAAGCATAAAGCGTCCAATTTTAGGTATACTTGTGTTAGAGAAAGCATTTTAGTTAAAGTACTCTAGAAGTCTGGAAGCCTTTTCGCTCAACGGTTCAAATAGAGAAATGAGTTTTCGCGGAGTAAGATCTGATTTGTTTCGAGAAAGAACAAATCTCTCGGAGTTTCAATTTCATCCGTTTCTAACCACCGTAACAATAGACCGAAATTTCCATTACCCGTGTCGTCTCGAAAATCATTTGTGCCCTAGTAAAAGCACTTAAAGAAGTTCAAACTGCTTGTGGATCTTGAAAAAAAAGTGGTTGGAGAGAAGAAAGTTCTTAATTTTAATGACCATCCTGCTGACGAGCATTGCAAAATAGTTCTCTCTTTTTCATAATGATAGAATCATTCTTTTTTCCGGTGCTTCATTCTAATTCGTTCAATGTCTTCAATGTTTGTGGTTATGGGGTATGCGATAGACTTACCTCCACGTGGTGCACCCTGGGCGACGTATACTCATACGGCAAGAATGTCTATTATTCGGCAGTTGACTTCAAACTACCAAGCCCCCCCCCCCTGCATGACATATTCGACCACTTCCACAGTACTACATCACATTTTTTCTAAATTTTCAACCTTCGTCTTTGAAATACTCTTCAGTTCCCCTCCTCTCGACTTTTTCACTTTGATGTTCCTTCCCCTCTGTGAAGCCAACTAAAGGACTAATGATAACCGTCAAAACACCTGCCATTTGATATAAATAAATGTTTGTGGTTATTATTAAGGCAAATACGCGATACATTGTTTGTTGGAGCCTAATCCCGTTTCAGGACTCTTACCAGCCTCACAGTATTATTTCAATTGCTTAATCACGAGGTAACCTCAAGTTTTTCTGGGAGAGCTACCGTGTGTCCTCATATGGTTTATTTTAATTAAGTGTGATTCAGCCACTTAAGTAGCCCTTGGGTAATCGTAGCTGTGATTCAATTTCCTCAGCTCAGCGTGTCCAGAATCACTTTACCTGTTTTTTTACCTAATTTTAAATGCCCATTACAAACAAACGAGCAAACAAAGAATTGTTGCATCTGCTCACAGATACGCAGGCTTCTGGTCTCAGCGGCTCTCGGGTCAATCTGCTGGCAGCTATTTTGTCTATTCATCATCTCGTTATGTGACGAAGTTCGTAAGAAGATCGAATATGTAGGCTAAAGAGGAGATGATGGGAGTGTGGGACGCCCTATCGCTTAGTGCGTTATCGCATTCCTGCACGCCAGGATTGGGAGGTGCGCCGTACAAATAGTGGCCAATCAGGAGCCTCCGTTTGTTTAACCTAATCCGCAATCCTGATTATGATTAAGCTCCCTGTGCGTATACTTTAGTCACAATATTTATTTCAAATGGCAGGCGTTTTGATGGCTATCATTATTGACTTCAGGCTTCATAGAGGGGAAGGAATATCAAAGTGAAAAGTCGAGAGGGGGGGGGAGGGAACAGAAGAGTATTTCAAAGACGAAGGTAGAAAAGGTAGATAGAAGGTGAGATGCATACTATGAAAATAGCCGAATATGACATACAGTGGTGTGATGGTAGTTCGAAGTCAGAAGTCAACTCCCGATTAATAGACTTTTTTGCCGTATGAGTATTCGTTGCCCAGGCGGTTTATAGACTTTTTGCCGTATGAGGTCACGTTTCCAAGCCATTTAATAGACTTTTTTGCCGTATGAGTATTCGTTGCCCAGGGTGCACCACGTGGAGGTAAGGCTATCGCACACCCCTTTACTCACAATATACGTACTGAATAAACGTGCTCCGTGCTACACGACAATATACGTACTGAATAAACGTGCTCCGTGCTACACGTCGGTTTCCTTTATAGCTGGGCTATGGCTTATCTGGTTCTGGGAGTCTAGCTAGATGTAGGAAAATCTGCCACAGAGATTTCTGAATCAGCCAGGCTTTACTAGAGTAGCAATATTTCTGAGTCAGTCAGGCTTTACTAGCGTAGCAATCCGTGGAGCTATAGCTTATCTGGTTCTGGGAGTCTAGCTAGATGTAGGAAAATCTGCCACAGAGATTTCTGAATCAGCCAGGCTTTACTAGAGTAGCGATTCGCTACAAGAGCATAAAACCATTTCAAGTTTTTAGGAGGCCTAAACTGGAATGCAAACCTAGACACGGGCTTCTGTTCTGTTCATCTTCAGCTGATTTCAGCTTCAAGACAAGGAATGAACCAAAAGTAGCACCAGCTCCAATAAGACAACTTATATCACCTGCCCGACACTTTTTAAATCCTCCAATCTCAAAATCTTACAGCAGCGTCAACCTTTGATAGATCAGAAGGTCGGGAAAGGAGATTAACAGTGGTATACTAGAGGAAAACAGGGACAGAGAGAGATGGAGAGGGATAGAGAGAGTTGGAAGAGGGGAAATAGATTAAATGTCAAAACTGCGTATTTGAGAACGGTATCAAGAAATGGCAAAATGGAACAAAAACTTTAAATTTTCCTGAATTAGCATTTTCTTTTCAGTAGGCATGTGACACAACGAATGACCTGTCAGACCTATGGATCAAGTAGCATAGGTACTACAAACTCTTATTTTACCCTCGTAGTTCATGTGGTTCATGACATCATGCTTGTGTTTATTTTATCATGATTCAAAGAATTTTCCAGATTTTATACATGAATGGACCCAGAGACACCCCCAGTTATGTCTTAACCAGCTTTAGCATATTAAGCAAATTAGCGAGAACAAGATGAAATAGCAGACAGAAAAGATTTAGTAAAGGTATTCAGACGTCAAAAACATCGATTTTAGAGAGCAAAACTTTTATTTCTGCTGACAGACTGGCGAATATCTCAATAAATTGGCAAAAATCTAATGACTATTGAAACTTTTGAATTTATTATTTCAAGGTTTTATAAACATACCAGAGATTTTAATTAATCCTGTTCACTATTTCTGCTCAAAGTAGGATTGAAGAGCTAGAATTCGGACTATCAAAGCAACAGCCACAGATGAGAATCTTTAATGGGTAATTAAAGACTGAAAATTATTTTAAAATTGTTTTCTTAATTTTATGGGCTAAAAATCCCTAAAATTTTTCCAATGCGAGACTATGAGCAGAGATAATTTCATTGGTCTACGTACATTTTATGCGAACCAATCACATTTCAAATGGACAAATGTCATTGGTAATTCATCCAATAAAGGGCGACAAATTCATATATTTGAGTCTATGCTCGAAGTTTTGCAAGTAGGTCAAAATTGTTAATTTTTCTAATCTCGAACAAAGTTGCCAACTTTATAACTGCTCTATTATTTAAATGTAAGCTTTCGGAACTGTTTTTGACCATGGTACAGTGATTTATAAACGTAATTTTATAAAGCACAGTATTCAGTCACACCATTCCACTTTTATTAGATTTTATTATAAATAGCATTGTCAATAAGTTACCTTTAAGACCTGTTGGCGTGTTGACATCATTCCCTTAACTCTCGAATTATTTATTGAAAAAATGAACCCAATATCACTTCCGTGTGTCTCACAGCAGACTAAAGACGAAGTGGTGAGTTTTTGTTGTAACAGACGAAAGCCATAGACGTATTGAACAAGTTTCAAACGGCAATAGAGCCTTCTGTTGTGAGCCTAGTACCAATTGTGTACCGAATGGACCCAAGGGCGTTAAAGGAATAAGGGTCATCTGAATTTCGCTTTCATCATCACTTAGGACATAAAAAAGCTGAGGTTTAAATTCTCAGTATTTGGAGATTATGAGTCACATATTGGTGTGAGGTGTTAGTTACGAGAAAAGGGCATATCCGTCTCTTCTTAAAGATTAAATTTTTTTCTATCAATATTTTTGGGATATGAACACTTAATTTTGATTGTCTCGACGCAACTTAACGCAAAGTTTCGAAGTTTTCTTATTTCGTTTTACTCTATTTAATTCCGCATTAAAAGGTGCCTTGATGAAAGCCCTCCCACGCTTACTTTTCGATGGTGTTGCCCATTAAAATGAGACCCGAACAGATAGTTCACCAACAATGGCTATTTAATTACATTCTAAAAAGGGAGCTTAAGGCGGTTTCATTTATTATTTCAAGGATGCCAACAACATGTGGATTTCCAAACTGCAAGTTTCGGTCGCGTTATAAAGGCTTTGAGGATAATCGACACTTTTATCGAGTACCAAAGAAACCCTCAACTCTTCGAGCAAAGTGGCTGGAAGCCATAGGTCGAACAGAAGCCAACATTGTCAGTCAGGTAACTGTATATGTAGTTCGTTTATCAAAAAAATTTATCCACGTAGTTGCGCATATGCTCGGGTCACTTTCATGGTGGTGAAAAAAAAGAGGGTGATATACCAGTTGCTGATCCCGCTATCGATCCACCGAAACGAATTGAATTACCCTCGAAAAATCCACGCCTCCCTGTAGGATCTTCTTCGTCATTTGTTCGTAACTATCCCCGAGGTGGCTCATCGAATGCTTCGCGTTTTCGCGGTAGAGGGAGGGGAAGTTTGCCCCTCAAACTGATTCCTCCACGCTTCGTATCACCCATTCCACCACCAACTTCGCTTACATCGATGGAAGTTTCGATGCCGGGTATGAATCAAGAAGCATTGATGAATGCATGGAACATGCTCTTGAATGGATCTCCATATCTACCTCCGCTCTCAACGATTCTACAGAACATTCCACAAAATGCCATTCTTCCAACTGCTGCGACTACTACTGCTCAGCCCATAGACTCATTATGTAAGTGGTACTATATTTTGGGAGTTTGTCTTTATTGCTAAACGATTATTTTTTACTTCGTATTTGTTCTGGCTTCCAAAAGAGCTGAAATTTTGGCCTTTGGGTAGTTGACTCGTTTAAAGTTTCTTTAGATTTAGTGAAATTTATTCGCTATTTTCTTATCATTCGTTGAAATCCACCAAGTTTGCTTCCCTTTTAAAATGCTCAAAATGCAGACTAATTTTACCTCTAATCTTGAAAGTGTCCACTTAATTACACCTCTCTCTTCTTCATGCGGAACCACCCAGCATTCGAAGTACCTAATAGGATCTTGCTGCTAAATGAGCCGCCTATGTGAATGACTATGAAACGATAAATTATTTCGCATGGGAGTGTGAAGAGAAAAGCGAGAACAGTTGAGATGGAAATAAGAGTTACTCACAGACCGACACAAAGGCGAGATATGTCCTGGTGGAAGAATAAAAAGTTGAAGTCAACTTCAAATTTGGCAAGCATGGATTAAACGTTTTTTGAGAAACCCGCATTGAAGCATACATACTGCGGCATGTATGCAAACATCCACAATGGCTTATTCGAGCACCGAAGAGGGGGG